CACCGGAGTCTTTGTCCTGTCCGATGATTGGAACCGCGAGTGTGTGCTTGAAAGACTTAAGGACTTGCCAAACCTGGAACTTGTATGCCTTGAAAACCGATCCATATGTGACGATGACTTAGAATATTTGAAAGCACTCAACTCCGTACGAATGTTCGATTTAGCTGGTACCAACATCACCGATGAAGGACTTTTAACCCTAACTTCTTGCAATGCACTTGAGATAATCGCGGTGGGCAAGACTTCAGTATCTTCAAAGGCAATCGAAGAATACATCAAGGCCCGTCCTGAGGTGTTCGTCTCGAAACGCAGGAGGTAGTCTCGCAGGCCGTAGGGTGCGTCTCGACGCACCATGGGTTGGGGGTAGAACTCGGCCCTTGGCAACTGCGTGGAAACGCTAATGCGCTGCCACGTGTTGCGGTGGATGAGCGGTTTGGCAGTTCTTCGTGCGTCGAGACGCACCCTACCGCTATTAGAGCCTTGCGATGACTACGCGCGTTGCATGGCCAGTTCGCGGTAGTATTGGATCGAACGCTGGAGGCCTTCGTCGAAGTCGATTTCGATTTCGTAGTCGAGCAGCTGCGTAGCCAATGTGTTGTCGGCCATGCTGTCGCGAACGTCGCCAGCGCGGGGTGGGTCGTGCTTGGCTTGGATGTCGGTACCGAGGTATTCGTTCAGCAGTTTCAACAGCGTCAGCAGCGACGTGCTTTTACCGTTGGCAACGTTGATCACCTTTCCGGCGACGCCATCGGCAGACATCGCAGCCAGGTTAGCGTTAACGATGTTCTTCACGTAGGTGAAATCACGCGACTGCTGACCGTCGCCGTAAACGACCGGCTGCTTGCCATCGAGCAGAAGCGTCAGGAAAATCGGAATGACCGCCGAGTAAGGGCTGTCAGGATCTTGTCGCGGGCCAAAGACGTTAAAGTATCGCAGGCCAACCGTTTCCAAACCGTACGTGTGATAGAAGGCCTGGCAGTAATACTCTCCCGCCAGCTTTGCCACGGCATAGGGGGAAAGCGGGGCCGGTAAATCGGTTTCGCGTTTGGCGAGGAATGGTTGATCGCCGTAGGCACTACTCGACGCGGCATATACCACGCGTTTCACCCCAGCTTTGCGGGCCTCGTTCAACACGTTGAGTGTTCCCGTGACGCAGTGCAAGTTGGTATCGAGCGGGCGTTCGACACTGAGTGGAACGGAGGCCAATGCGGCTTCATGGAATACATATTCGACCCCATCCAGCGCGGCCGCAAGCTGCTCGGCTTGGGTGATGCACCCTTCGACGAACGTTGCGTTTTCGTGCTGCGCGATGTTAGTGCGACTGCCGGTGCTGAGGTTATCGTAGATGACCACTTCGTCGCCGCGAGCGAGCAAGCCGTCGACGATATGAGAACCGATAAAACCGGCACCACCGGTAACAAGGTATTTGGCCATGGCACTTCGACTGGGTGAGGGGACGCGCGGGGGCAGAGTTAAGCAGCCAAGTATAGCACTTATTTCAAGACGTTGGCGGCAATGAGCCCGGCCGGATCGATCCCGAGTTGACGGTAACAGTCGACGGCGGCCTGAATGTCTTCCCGCGAAACCTGCCCGAGGTTGGCCTGCAAATAGGTACGCTGGGCGACCTGAGCGAGCAGCCACGAAGCGGAAATATCAGGACCTTCGCCGGAGATGAGCACGATGTCGTACGACTTCAAAATCTCGCGGAGCTGATCTCGGAGCGAAGTCGAATCTTGCTCGCCGCCGGTCAGCATGAACGATGACTTGCCCGCTGGCGTAAACGCGACGCCTGATTCTTGATCGTGATAGGTACCATCTTGCGGATAGGTTTCGCGGCGAACGGTTTCGAACAGGCCCGCATGATTCCGCAGCCCAAGTTGATCGGACAGCGTCTTCGCTCGCAATGCTCCATCGATCACGAAGACTCGACACGACTGCTGACTCAGCCACGCCGCCAAATGCAAAACGAGCGACGCGGAGCTTCGATCGGGAACGCAGGTCCCCAGAAAGAAGACCTGACAGGCATCTTCCTGATTGCCGATCATCGATTCGGCCAGCTGAGCGAACTCGTCTTGAACTCGGGGCTGATCGAGGGCCGAGACTGCCTGGCGGAGGGGATCGATGTTGGGAATCGGTTTCTCGATCGTCGGCGGTCGCAACTGTGGCTTGAAGACGCCTGCGTTTTCCGCACGCGCCGCTGCGGCAGTTGGTTTCGGAGCGACAGGCTTCGCGGGCTCTGGTTTCGCGGTCGTAGTTTTCGGAGCTGCTGGCTGCGGAGGTGTTGGCTTTTCCGGCGGAGCAGAAGGGGGCACTTCGACCACTACCGGAGCGGGCGGGGCAGCTTGGGCTTGGACACGCTTTTCAAACTCGTCCAGCTTTTTCGCGAACACCTCTTCCTGCAGTTTAAGTTGCCCGCGAAGTTCGGACTGGATGGTCTTCAGTTCCGACTCGATTGATTGCGACGAATGTTGATGCGACTCGAGCGTGTGCCGAAGCTGGACGATTTCTTCTTCGTGACGCTTGTCATGAGATTCGAGCTGCTGCTTGACCTGTTTGACTTCCTGGGCAACGGCATCACGTTGTCGAACCACCACGGCCAGCTGCTGAGTGAGCTTGCGGATCAACTCCGTTTGTTCCGGCGATGGCTGTGGTGCGGCCGGTTCGGGTTTCGGTGTCGCTTCTGGCGAACGTTCCGCATGGACCGGCTCTGCTTTCTTAGGTGATTGCGACTGTGATTCGGCCTCGGGCATTACCAGAGTTTGCGTGACCGGGCGCGCAGGAGCCGCGGCGGCAGTCGGCTCCTTCGCTTGAACGGGCTCGATCGGGACCGCAGGCGACTTCTCAACAGAACCGGGCGTGCTCCCTGGGCTGGGGGACGCCTCCGGTTCCTGAGATTGCAGGCCTTGCAGTGCTTTCAGGAATCGAGCCATGTTTGCCGCTTACGCGTGTTCGCGTCGCAATTGAG